AAAAAATCCTTTAGCATGTTATTATACAAAATTTAAGTACATACTTATTTACGACACTACAGGAAAATGCCAAGAAACCTTAGAATTACACGTAGAATCCTTCTTAGCTACACGCGCATAATCCAATAAACCTCCCATAAAAATTTACCCGCCCTAACTTACATACAAATATAAAGCGATATATTACAACCTTGCCTACACCGAGGGAAAAAACAGTCTAAAATCAAGAAAAGCGGTCTTAATTTAAGCCCATACGTTGTTAATAGTCTGTTAAGCTTGAAAATTCTTAAACCAAGACCCAAAATCTTATTTCTAGACCGTATCAATTTTAGATTGTTTCGGTCTCTTTTTAAGAACCAAATTCTTTAAAAGAGAATAATCGTTCTTATTAGAAGATTGCGATATTCTTAGTTCAAGAACGCGCGTTCTTGATATGAATCTGCCTTGTTCTTGAATTAATCTGCTTTGTTCTTATTTCATGAACGAGGATTCTTAATTTTAACCTGCTTTGTTCTTAAATTATACTTTCGAAATTCGAATTTTTAATTGCAGCTAGCCCTGTAGGAACATAATGAAAACAATGGTATAGGAAAAAATTTCACTTTCAATTTATTAAAGTATTGTTAAAAAAATTACATTCAATGCTTATAATATGTATAGATACATATACTTCAGTCTTCATAGGTATACTACTTATTTATATATATTTAAGTCTTACAAAGGTTTTTCCGTTATTTACATAGTATAAATGCAATGGAGGACTTATAAACTCGGATATGTTTTTTATTTGTAAAGTGTCATTACTAGAGCCTACTTCGTAAGACTGAAAATGATTATTGAAATTTCTTATAACTATTTGATTACATATTACATATATATTGTCATTTTGAAACAAAATGTACTTTATTTTATAGAGTTCAATATTGTTTGGTATACTAATTGCTAAGTAATTGGAACTTTTATAAAAAGTCCCTTTAAAATAAACTTGCTTTAAAAGTTCACAATTTTCAAACTGAATTCCGTTTTCTTGAATTAATATGGAGTAAAATTCTTTTTGAGCTAAATCAAGTTTAGCATCTGGTTCAAAATAAAAAATGCTATCTAGAGAATTCTGACGATCTAATAAAAATCTTATCTGCAGGGATAAGATCCCCTATCATTAAGGGTAAAAAGTGAACAAAGCAGCGAACCTCACTAGCTGTCATTTTTAAATTAAACGCTTTTAACCTTAACATGGTTAATGGAATAGAAATATTGCCAATTTCAGACTCCCCAAACTGAAATAGGCCTTTTCTACTATTTATTTCTTCAAGGCTTATTATATTATCATTGATTAATCCAAGCAGAATATTACACACATCATATGAACATATACCTTCATATATGTCATGCATTAAGTCAAAACAAAAGTTTTCTGTGACATGAAAATATTCTAATGTGTCAAAAATACACATATTTTTAATTCCGGTTTCGTGAACGTTATTTTTCAATAAATCTTCTTCATAGTTATCAACACTCCTTAAAAAGTGTGTGTATTCCAAAACATCGCATTGCATTTGACTCCTTGTCCTTCTACAAGCACGACAATATTTGTTTGAGTTAAATGCCTGCACATAACCCAATATGCTATTAACAGCTAAGTTATCACCAACTATCAGACCTAAAATAAAATGAATCTTGCGTGTTTTACCTTCTGTTACAATCTCTACACCGTTTTCTAATTGTTTGAGTTCTTCAACTAAGTGATAAAAAGCTGTTTCAGTGCCACTGTTTTTTAAATCTGCACTTGATATTAAAGCTGCATGAAAAATATAATCTACTTTTGACAGTAAATATTGTGGCATGGTAGGAAAGTTAAAATAACAACCGCATATCGAATATGTATGACTTCCTAGTGCATTATTTATTTGAAAATCATCAAAATAAAGGGTGTACGGAATAACTAAATCAGACTGAAGCTGCTGTTTCTTTCTTTTAAAAATACTTCCACTTGCAAAATTGCATAAAATGCTGCTTTCAGAATATTCTTTGGTACATGACAATGTAGCGTCTAGAAGTGTGGGGATTTCAAAAATAGACTTGAAAGTAAATTTTAATGGCATAATATAAAGATCAGTAGATTTCGGTCCCAAAGTGCGATTGCTGTGATAAGTTATTTCGGTAATCGACTTGCTTATTACAATGTGCCTTGGATGCTCATATAATTTTAAATCTTTCAATAATTTAAGCAGTCTGTATTCCGTTTTTATTTCTTGAAAAGGATCTTTACAAAAATTTAGTAAACATATTAAATCATTTTTAATTTCTTCAGCTTCAAATAACCCTTCAATTGCAGTGGATATAGATGAAATTAAAGTAGAAGCCGAATTTTGAATTTCTATTACTCTTTTTCTAGGCATGGCGTTTTGATCATATAAACTCAAGGATAACTCTAATGCATTTTTCTTTAAACTATTTATAGTTTCTAAAGTATTTATATTTTTGGGGGGACTACAGTTTTGTCGAATTAAATTATCGTTTTCTTCTGTGTCTTCTGAAACTTTTTTTTGGAAAGTCGTTGCTGATGGCAACGAAAAAGAGTTGGGACTTCTTTCATCTATACATTTTTCAAATTTATGTTGTTTTTCCAAATGAACACGAAAATATGTAAAATTTGTGAATGTTTGGTGACAGTTTTCTTGTACGCACCGAAGTTTTAGAAACTTGGTAGACATTAAGTGGTCAATCTTGAAATGACAAATTAGGTTTTTAGATTCAGAAAATTCTTTAAGACAACGAAAACAAGAATACATTTTGTGCAATTACTTATTAATTTTCAAATAGTTAACAAGACGAGTAATGTTTGGTGATTTAAAATCATAAATTGTGTTAATTTCGAAAAAATATTGCTGTATAAAAAGCCACGGATGCTGGCATGTTTTGGGATAGTTCAGTGAAAAAATTTGAAAAATTTTAAAGCATAAATCCAAGCTTTCTATGAACGAATTAAGTTTGTACAAAATGCTATCAAAATAAATATAATACCCCTTCAAATCTGTTTCAACCGAGCCCTCGACTATAAGAAACGGCTGCAGAGTTAACCCAGCTGAATAATATTTGTTGATAATATCATTTACTTTTCTTTGGTAGTCATTAACTGAAGTCAGCTGCAATACAAAGTTTTCTTGGGCATCTATTATTGTCATTTTTCTGTTGCGCTTTCCATGCTCGTTTTTATACCGTGCGGAAGATGGCATAACTGCATTAAGTAATATCGCACATATGTAATCCTGGACGTCTAATAATATAAAAATTTTTAAATTTGCATACTAAGAGTTTCTGAATTTAATACTACCTTTGCTAACAGACGACTTTACTTGCTGAAGTAACTGTTTGCAAAATTCATTATGGACATTGGCTTCATAAAACCGCAAAACTTGTTCTTTAAATATTTCCCATTTTGCAAGTAGCAAATGTTCCTTGCCCGGATACATAATATTAAAATCAATTTTCATCTAAAATTTAAAAATTTATTATTAGGTAACGATATTACAAACATTTGAGCAGTGTTACCAAATCAGGAGCTCTCGAATCTAAAAGTTTTGGCCAGCTCTGCAAAAATTCATTAGTCTTCATTGACTTCAAATCCCTTTGCCGAATAGGGTAGGTTTTCTTCCACTTATCACAAATTTCTGTCCAGTCAGCATTACCTCTGCTTAAGGAAGTTTTTAAGCCTAGAGCTATAGATTCGTCAATTTCCACATCTTTCTCATTTGTTTCCTCAGATTCGACTTGTTGCTTAGAAGAAGACTGCACATTTTCAGAAATAGAGCCTCCCAGTATCCTTTTTTTGCTCCTTTGATTTTTGTATTTCACATACAGCTTACCCCCTGGGTTATTTCTTCCCTTTCGCGGTATGAAATAGTAATCCTAAAGGACGTTTGTTTAGCATATAGTAACGTAAACAAAATTTAAATAAACTAAACCAACAAATATACCAACCTCAGCAGTTCTTTCTGTCGGAAAAAGTGAGCAAATTTCATTAAACAAAGGTGCAAAATCATTGGCTTTCAGAGTAATGCCGTTGAGCACAATTTCTTCAACAATAATGTTGATTACTTCATCTCTGAGGACACTTGTTAATGTGTTGTTCTCTTTATAGTACTCCAGGATATTGATGCCTTTAGTTGTACGAGTCAGTAAAGCAGTGATATCCTTGGTTTAAAAAGTTTTTGAAATATAAAAAAAATTTTTGATAATATCGCCCACAAAAAAGTGGTCTAAATGAACAGGTCCGCATTGGGTAGTTGGGTTTGGTGAATGGAATAAGGATATTAATTAGCTGGTCCTTACCTTACTGAATAGTCTTGTGCTCAATGAGGCGTTCGTTGATGATAAGCAAGAAGATTTACTATGAGAATCTGTGCAGGCTTTGAACCAGTCATTTACTTTTGATGGCACCGAAATTGTTTCGTCGTCAACTCCGAACTTAAAAAATCATCATTATTAATTTTTTCATAGGTACATAAATAAACTTAACAACTATTGTTAAATTTACCTTATTTTTTCTCCAGGCGAATAACTTTTCACGAAACTCTATGCGTAGGCCAAGATGTGGAACTGCTTCTTTCAAATCCTCTTTTTGAATGTATTTTAAGCATCTATAAGTGATTTGTGCAGCTAAAATACACTTATTAGAGTATACTTTTCATATATGCAAATAGGGAATATGTACTTACCTTTTAAATTCTCAAAAATACATTCCAGTCTGAATTCTTTCAGCAACGTTTTAAGATTTTCGTCATCTTCGATAGTGGAATTATCTTCTCCAACTGTACTTAATGTACTTTCATTTATTTCTGGCAGAACAGAATTTTCTGGAGCTTCTATTGCCCCTTCAGAGGTAACTGGTTGCTCCGTGGTAAAGAGAACCCAATTATTTACCTCACTAGTAGCGTCATTTGCATAAACACAATAGTTTTCCATCTTTTATCTTGTAGCGTTCTAAAATTAAGAACGTGGTATAAATCACAGAACGGATAGAATATATTTAAGAACGGATGGTCTAAAAATATGATCGTGTGTTCTAATAGCAAGAACTTGGTTCTTAATACTAGAATTGTGTTCTAAAAGCAAGAATTTGGGTCTTAAT